AACATTAAAAGTTAATTAAAAAACATTTCCTTTTTAACTGATTGTACTTTATTTCAGTATAAATATTTATTTGCAGCTGTACAACACTGGTGTTGGCTTCTGTGCAGATTACAGATCTGCCTGGGATGCTGCAGAAGGTCCTATTGAGCTGTCTCCTTGTAGTGACAATATTAACCAGGTATTGTATATTTAAAGCTTATGTGTACTGGCATCAAATTTAAGGCCCAGATACAGGAAGGTATTTAAGCTGGTCCCTAACTAACTTTAAGCATTGCCTTCAATAAGAGTACTCATGTGCTTTAAAGTTAAACACATGCTTATGTACTTTCTTGAATCAGGGGCTAAATGATGAGCAGCTAAATTACTGCAACAATGTGTCTTGCTGATTTTGTCCCATCCAAAAAATATGGTTTTTTTTCCATTTGGGAATCAGTTCATCTGCACTGGACACTATTAAAATATGGAGGTTCACCACACTACTTACCCCATGATATTTTCAGTATTCCCTATACTAAAAATGAGAAATGTATATGACTGGACTGACACACAACAAATACTGCAGTATATTGAATTATTGCAAATGGTAAATGTCAAGATTTTCATGATCTTGACTGTTATTTTTTCAATCAGTTTTTGGAAACTTAAGAAAGGGAAAAATCATATTTTAGTTAATATAATAGAATGGTTACTTAGCACACTGCTTGACAGTACAATAATTTAAAGCAATGATTTACAATACAGTAAAAACATTCATTCATTCAAATGAAATCTCAGTAAGCAGTCTTTGTCTAATGAAAATCCAACCAGCATTGTGACAGCTTTACTGTATTCTGCCCCTCTTTTAAAAATGATTTCTCCTTCCACCATCTAATATGCAAAGTGTAATTTAACCAGCAACACACCTAGGATATGTCTGTTCATTTTCCATGACAGATATTTAACGCTGGCTACTGTTTTTCACCTGAAATTGTTTGTACTTTTTAGGTCATTTAGATATTTAAGTATTTGATCTGCAGGCACACGCAGACATCTACATTAACTAAAGTGTTTCAGTCCAGAGATTTGTGGATGCAAAAATGAAAGCCTGGTTTACATCAAGCTAAAAATGAGGTTTTTACTTTCTATCTCCATAGAGGTCAGTCAACAACACTGAGTTCTGGAATAATGTTAAACAATTAGAACTCTATGCTCTGATCCTTATACACCTCTACCCCGATAGAACGCTGTCCTCGGGAGCCAAAAAATCTTACCGTGTTATAGGTGAAACCACGTTATATCGAACTTGCTTTCATCCGCCGGAGTGCGCAGCCCCCCCGGAGCGCTGCTTTACCACGTTCTCTCTGAATTCCTGTTATATCGGGGTAGAGGTGTACATCCAAAACTCCCATTAAAGATAGGGGAAGTTTTGGAAGCTCAAGAAATATAAGACCAGGACCTTAGATTGTATATGCAAATATTTGCATCCTGATTGGTTTGCAAAAGTTCTGCTTCCTGATTGACTCAAAGATAGATGTTTTCCCCCTGAACTTTTAAATTCATCTCTCTTTTTGAATGCTGAGAATGAACTCAGTGGTAGTTGAAACTGTCCAGCACATGCGGATTGGGCCTATGAGTACAAAGTGATTGTTTATTATTTTCAGTAGCATGGAATGGAAGACTTGGAAGTTTAGGGCACAAATCTATCAACTCTAGAATAACAGAGATGGATTTTTCCCATATTCTGATGTCTGGGAATGTCCCACCAGCCGGAGTACATTTTAAAAAAAATATTGCCTACAAATGTTATATTCTGCATCTATTTTATACATATTATCCAATCCTAAAAACCTTTACTCATGGAAATAGTCCCAGGAAAGTAGTCGTGCAAGGACTACTTGTAAGAGGATAGGTTTGCAGGATCAGGCCTATTGTGTCTCCTTCATTCATCTTGGAGTTTTATGTTAACAGACAGGAAATGATTTCGGATACTAGCAACTAAAAATGAATTGGAATGTTCTTCAACTTTATTAATGCAAACAAACCCTTCCTTTTCTAGCATTTTGAATATAACAGTATGAAGGAAATCCGGTTTGGTTCCGCTCTGCAGTTTTGCTTTGATGTCAGACATGAGAAGGTTATCCTTCAAAACTGTACACAAGAGACAGAAAATAACCAGCAACAATGGGATGTCCAGGAGGTGTGTAGTGGTTTTGTCATGAAGCTAGGCTAACTGAAAATAGTCCAAAAGTTGTCGGGAAGGGGTTACCAGAAGTTTTAGAGTGTGGTTTCACTGCATCACAGTTTGCATCCAAGGTACTGTGAAGCTATTTGTCTTATTCACACCAACTTCCTTATACAAATTTGCTTAAGAAAAAGAGTTAAAGCAACCATTCTATAGAACCTCATGCTCTAGATTTTTGCTGTACTAGACTAACCTATTTATTTTATAGGGGATCCTGGAATATATGAACCAGTGATTATGAAATTAACCTAAGGGCAAACCCCACCCCACTTCTGTAGGCACAAAGGACCCTTACAGCAAAGGAACATGTACAGTCCTGCTACGCAGGCTGGGAGAGGTGCGAGAGGACCCAGATTCTGGGAACACATGAAGAAGGGGTTAGCCCCTTGCTTGTCTTGAATTGGATCTCTTTTGGGAGTAGGGTGGGGCCTTAAAATTCCCCCTCTACTGCTGTATAGGAGTATCTCCTTCTATAAGAATTCAATATTATTCAGTGGAATTCACCCAGCAAGGTAGGAAATTATCTGCAGCATGGGAAATTGTAAGGTTCCAGGACAATATATAGAACAAAGTGTTAAAAGAGATCTGGACAGATTTATGAGTGGGATTGTAAAATGGGTTGCTTGTCATGGTAGGGGGCAGGGCTCAGCAGCCCTGGGACTCACCGGTTTATGTCTTATGTTCTTACAAGCTCATCCGTCTAGGCTTCAGACAGCTACCTGCAGGGGTCAGGAAGGGATTCTCCCACCGCTGCCAATGTATTCTGTTTTTGTTTTTTTGTCTCCTTCCTGTGAAACATCAGAAATGCCCATGGCTGGAGATTGAACACTGGACAGGGTGGGAGAGGGCTCTGAGGTGGCATCAAGCATTCTCTGTCTCGGGTGCTTGGCTGGCTGCTTCTTGCTCATGTGCTCAAGGTCTAACTGATCACCATGTGTGGAGTCGGCAAGGAATTTCCCCCCAGGCCAGATTGGTGGTGACCTTGGGGGTTTTTCACCTTCTTCTGTAGCATGTGGATGAGAGTCACTTGCCAGGATTATCTGGGTGTATATCACCTAATCATTTCCCTGCCATTACAGGAGCCTTGGGGACTGGTGCATGTCGTTCCCGCCTGTTCTCTCCCAGTGGCTAGGGTTACCATATGTCCGGATTTTCCCAGACATGTCCAGCTTTTTGGTCCTCAAATCCCCATCCGGGAGGAAATTCCAAAAAGCCGGGCATGTCCGGGAAAATAGGGAGGGGTCGTGGGGCTTGGATCCGGGCTGGAGCCGCTGGGGCTGGGGCTGGAGCCGGAGCCGCTGGGGCCGGCGCTGCTCGGCCGGAACCGGGGCCCGAGTGGAGCCAGGCCGGAGCCGCTGGGACCGGGGGCGCTCGGCCGGCGCTGCTCGCCCAGAGCCGGGGCCGGGGCCGGGCCGGAGCTGCTCGGCCGGAACTGGGGCCCAAGCCGAGCCGGGCCGGAGCTGCTGGGACTGGGGTTGGGGGTGCTCGGCCGCCGGCCGGCGCCGCTCAGCCAGGGCTGGTGCCCCAGGGCCTGAGCCGAGCTGGAGTCGCCGGGGCCAGGGCGGGCCAGAGCCACTTTGCTGGAACCGGGGCCGGCGCCCCAGGGCCCAAGCCAAGCTGGGCTGGAGACGCCGGGGCCAGAGCCGCTTGGCCTGGAGGGCCGGACTGGGCCACGCCTCCTCGCGCCCCCCCAGCCCCAGCTTACCTGCTGCCTGCCTGTTTCAGGCTTCCTGCGAACATTTGATTCATGGGAAGCAGGGGAGGGGGAGGAGCAGGGGGCGGAGCGTTCAGGGGAGGGAGTGGAGTTGGGGCAGGGACTTTGGGGAAGAGGCAGAGTTGGGGTGGGGCCGGGAAGGGGCGAGTTGGGGCGGGGCTGGCGCACAGGGAAGGGGCGGAGTTGGGGGGCGGGGCCCCATGGAGTGTCCTCTTTGTTTTTTTAAAATATGGTAACCCTACCAGTGGCACATCATAGTCTAGTCCTCTGTGGACTGTAATACTTTGATCTAATTTCAGTTGTTGGGTTTACTGTGCAGATTCTGGGTGATGTTGGTGGCCTGGGATATACACAAGGTCAGACTAGATAATCTGGTGGTCCCTCCTGGCCTTAAACTCTGACTCGATGAACTTCCAGTTATTCCACACACAGAACAGGTACACGGCAGTCACATGGGTACTACAGCTCTGAGTCTATTATAGTTGCAGTTATGGGGCAGTCCTGCTACCACTCTACTTCCCAAGGGGAGGATTCATTTTCCCCAGCATTGGACTAGGTTAATCTTGGCACGACATAGCCCAGCAATTTATGCTGGGTACAACATTTACCCTCTAAAAAGCAGAAGGCACTGGGGGAGGGGCTAATCTTAATAGGTGCTGAGTATGTACAACTCCCATTGGATCAATAGGAATTATGGGTACTCACCACCTTTCAGGATCGAACCTAAGACTTTTACAGTAATCATTAAATTTAAAGTACTACTCCAAATAAACAATCACCGATCCCTACTGATTGCATTTCTTTGTTAGCAGTTTAAAATACACATTCTGATCTTTATTGAAAGTCCTTTACTTTTTCTCCATTCCTTCTGCCCCTTTTTTGTCTTTTTGTAGGGTGGAATGATTGTCCACATCCCTTCTGGAAAATGTCTAGAGGCAGTGAAGAGTGAAGCTGAGAAGGACTTGTCCTTACATGTATGTAACAAGAATGAGAATCAGCTGTGGCGATTTGATCACTTGCATGTGCTAGATGAGAGATGACTGACAGGTCTATGTGAAGACTGTCTCCAAACCTCATGGTCACTTTCATTTGGGATTCAAGACACACAGATTCCTGCATGCAGAAGAAAGTTGTGTGTGTCTGCCACGGTCTTCAGGAGAAGATAGAAAGATCTTGCTTGGAAAGTCTTGCTCAAGGAATTGCAGCAGGCTCCTGGTTTAACCAACTCAAGCTAAAAATTACTATTTGTTCTCTTCAACCAGAGAATAAAAGTACTGCGAGTATCAGTAATGACTCTGCAGCTCTACTGCTGCAGAAGACAAGAAGTTTGTCCTTTTAAAGAAACTTGGAAGACAAATTGCCAAAGGGTCTCTCTTCTAAAACTTCTAAGAAAACAGGAAGATGAATCTTTGTGAAACTTTAGAAACTCTCTCAAAGGAAGTCCGCCTTGTTAGGATGAGAGTTTAGCCAAGCTGTACGGTGCACTTGACCCATATAAAACAAAGTAGGTTTTGTATGTATCAAAGTAGAACATAATTACTTTTGTAAGAAATAGTTAATATATTCCTTTCCAAATACACTGAGCCAAATACCCCACTCAGTGAGATTGCACAGTGTGTGTGAATTAGCACAGAATTGGGTTACATCTTGTTCTTGTTAAAAATTCTCATTGATGTCAATGGGAGTACAATCAGACTCTCTGTCTTTGGCCCATTGTCTCTCTCTGCCTTAATCCACAATCTAAATTGGATGAGACAATGACTCCAAAGAAATGGATAGATGTACAATGTTCGTGCTTTAGTTTCCTTTGGGTTTTAATAACTCCTTGTCAGCAAACTTTCCATTAGTAGGCTTCAGCACACCCAACAAGAGCAGAGTACGAAAGATTTAGGAGAAAAAAAAAACCTCGCAAACAACATGTATTTTGACATGGAATTTATTGGAGGCATTCAATTTTGGCTAATAAAACATTGAGATGAATTAATGTACTAAAGCAAAGTATCACTCAAGTTGTAAAACTTGAAAGCAGAAAATGAAAGGACTTTAGCTGCACAAGACTTTATAGCTACGTAAGAAGAACAAATTGGTGTCTGCTTCCTTTTCCTGCATCTGCTGCTAGCTACTTTAAAGAATAAGAGTGTTGACGCTACACCAGAGGATTCCTATAGCCCCTTACTCACCATGGGTCTCGTAGATGATCCTCAAAAGGAACTCATCAAGGTTCTTTTACTGGGAGCGTGATCGTGCATCCCTTCTGACCTCAAGTCTCCCACTGAAGTTAACGGCAATTATTATAATATGAGGAATATAGTGTCAGGCTGCCTGTGTCAGACAGTCTGACTTGCATGAACACTTTATCTGGAGTCCTTAAATTAGGAATGAAATCAAATAGGGCTGACACCTTCGGGTGCTTCCAAAATAGGAGGGGGAGAAGCTTGGCAAGACAGAGAGGTGATTGCAGGATGGAGCCTTTTCCTAACTACCTGGCTTTCCTTTAGATTGGCTCACAATTCATTTCCATATCAATCAATCGCAGCTTTCATACAGTCATTAAGGGAGCAGTGCATCGCTATTGAAACCTAATTTATTGCTGACTTTTTAAAAAGAGACAGAGAATGTTACTTTTACTAAGATTTAGAGCAAATTGACTTCACAGTGGGGCTTGGCACAAGGCTGAAAATAACAGAATGTTCTGCTCAGAACAAGCCAGGTATCAGCCTTTGGGAAATCCCAGAAAATAACATTCAACAATAGAAATCAGTCACAACAGAAGAAACGAACATCATTGAGCGCTGTGTCATCAATAAAAGCATTATGGTATGGGTCCTGTTTGGTTTCAATGCCACAAATTCCACCTCTTGTGCAGGCATTACTCCATCCACCATAATCACCAAAGCTACCGCCTGTTCCTTCTATGATAGCACCACTGCTACAGCGGAATTTGATACTGTTAGCGGCTGTATCATCTAAAATTCCTTGTGGAACTTCAACTTTCAGCTGAAAGGCTGTTAGGAACCCTGTTGGACACCAAGTGATTCCCGACCATTGCCCAAACCTAGGGGGAGAAAGACAATTTAAATATATTTTTCTCTATTTGTTACATAAAAGCCAGTGAAATGTTATTTTAATCAAGGCTGATCCATTTTTAAAATGGGAAGTATGCCAGATTTTTCTGAATTATTTTGAATGTATTATTTATTATGTGTTGAACACCAGCTGTGTTTGGACTCTGCAGAATACACAGCGGATACCATTCCTTCAACCCAGAGCTTACATTCCAAAAATAAAGTGACAGCACAATGACGGCAGGTTGAACTTATCACAAAGCAGCAAGGAGCTTTTCCTGTTTGAGGGCAGGAAAAAGTTGGAACAAAACTGAAGAAATGTGAATGTCCTGTTCACAGTGTATGTGTCAAACTCAAGAAAACCTGAGAAAGCAAGATTCACTGTAGATATATGCACACCAGAAAAAAGCCTTAAAGTAAATCCATTTACATCAGTGGAAGCAAGAGGAGAATATGTTTCTTAATATCAATTAAAAATAGCTTGGAGTTTACTCTTTGTTGCCTGCAATAATTGTAAATGTGTGCCTGGAAAAAAATTATACCCATACTTCAAAATCTGGATTTATGTTATGTCCACACTTTAAAACTTTGATATTTACATGAATATTAAGAATATCTAGAGTGTTCATAATTAATGTCAACAAACATTTTGGAAGGGATATTAAACCTTGTGCTTCAGGACTCAGGCCAATCTCTAACGGTCAGAAACCAGGATTAGACCTATGCAGGGGGCATTCTCCCATCCGCCTACTGAAGGATCATTGCATGTCTTCTAGTGCTGGCCACTGTAGGGGAGAGGATACTGCACTCTAGATGGACCTTGGCAGTTCCTAAAATCAGGTAATATAAACCCAATAAATGGCTGAGCCATATGTATCAGTGACCCACAGATCCTTTCATACACAAATTACATTTAAAAAACAAACTCTTTACATTACATAAAGACATTGATACAAACTGATAGGGGGTGAGGCATTCAAAGTTGAAACTGATAACTTGGCCCTAAAGGGGACATCATCAACTTAAAAATAATCACATTTCTGTCTGAACATTTCCCTATTACCGTTACAAGTAATGTCAAAGACTATTATAACTGAAAAATGAAGGGGAAAAAATTCTCTCTTTTTTTTTCTGTTTCTTTTCCTTTGTGCATATGGCAGAACTCTATGTATAGTCATTTTCACTGTTTCCCCTCTGAAGTCAGCCAGGTCCTGATCCTGCAATCAGATCTATTAGCTGGACCCCTCCACTTATGCAGTGTCCCATTGGGGTGGAAGGGTCCACTCTAGTAGATCTGATTGCAGTGTCAGGGCTTAGTTACTTAGTTTCCCTTGCCTGGGCAGAACTTCTACACAACAAGGTGGGGGGGAAATATATATATAAAAACAGGGAAATGTGATTGCCAACATTTTGGCCTCAGGAGCAGGTAAAGTACCTGGAATTACTTTTAAGTTGTTATTTTTAAAGTGACTAGATTCCAGATTGACAGTGTCCCTATAACACAAGTTGTTATAAGAAAATTGTAAAGGCCAAATATTCAAGTGAGGATGAAGTGTCAGTTTTAACTTTAAAGACCATCCAAGCTGTGCCTGGGGCAAAAGGTAAGAAATTCAAACACAATACAAGCAATGTCTGCTATTTAAATTGTAGCCTTTTTTCTCTGAATTTTGCAAATCATGCATAATTAATACATTGAGCCAAATTCATTGGGCTACACTGGTGTAACATAGACGATAACTTGGCCACTTCCTCGGTAGTGGTAAACAATTATATTCCCAGCATAAAAACTTAAAAAGAACAACCTGGAGGCAATAACAGCTGCTCTCTGGTTGACAATGCTACAAGTTCTCAGGTTCCTCCTCATCTGGTTTACTATAGATCAAACAAAATATAAAAGGTTGAAGTACCATTAAACTTACTTTCCAGAATCAGATTCAACGGTAAAGACAGCACTACTCGTATTGTTGATTTTTATGCAAAATAAACGGATCCCATTTAGTGCAGTGTCATCACTAGCTCCTCCATACTCCTCCATCTAAAATATACAGAAATACAGTAAGATCATTAACAGGATAAGAACCTATCGCTCTGACAAAGGTATGGATAAAGTAATCAGGTTCAGTTACCTTTACACTATATCCCATAGCATAGAAATGTTCTGGGCACATATCAATCCATGTCCAAGTGCCCCAAGGTCCTCCATTACTGACATTTATTGAGCTGTAATACTTTCTGTTTGAGAAAGTGCCATTAGCGTGGATTTCTCTTATACCAGAGACTGGGGAGACATAGGTTAAGCCAACCAAAAGGAGAATAGGAATGGCCTGCATGTTATAACAGCTGGATGAAGTAGTGTGAGCCACAGCACTAGTTTCTGCACTCTGTCCTTTATACCCCATTTTATCTCTGCCAATTTGATTAAAATAACAAATGTGTTCAAGATTGTCACATGGGAAAGTAGAACAAACAGTGTGTTTTGCAATGGTAATTTACTGGCTCGTGTTCTTAAATTAAATCTGGAAAGTCTGCAGCCCTCAGATTCTGCCCTGAATGAAATATAACAGTGCACAGTGAAATCCCATAGTCCTTCAACATAACTTCCATTGAAGTCAATAGGAGTTTTCTCTGAGTAGGCACCTGTGATGATATGGCAATCTATGTACAGCTTATGAATGCTATTTGATATTATGAACTCTGTGTATGGTTATCAGCATTGCCAACCTCAGTGATTCAAACCCAAAATCATGATTCAGACTCCAAAAAAATCTTGAGATTGGCCCAAAAAATCATGAGATGTTTAAAAAAGACGATGATGTGTTTTTTCAGTATGCCTTTTGACTATTGAACTGCCCCAGCCCATTCTGAGTCTGGGTGCGCCAATTAGTGTTGCCCACAATCCCAAATGTATTAGGTAAGGTGATGTGGACCCTCTGGTCAGGAGCTCTCACCGCAACATCTGGTCATCCCCTGGCTAGCAGTTAATCTTGTCCCCAGCCATTTTATCAGTTATGTCCCCACCCAGTCCCCATCAATTCAGCCTCATCCCTCATGTTCAGCCTCCCACAGTGTGCTCTACTCCTCCTGGGGTTCTTCACTCTCTCTCCCATGCCAGGTCCCAGCTCCTGTCATGCTATGAGGGGTAAGCTCCAGGGGCTTTTCACCCCCTTCTGTCCCTTCCTGGGCCAGGTGCTACAAGGGGAGAAAGAGGAGCAGAAATGATGCCCTGTCCATTTTTCTCACAGTACGAGAGGGGGACGAGGAAGCAGTGTTGCACTGAGCTGTGGAGCTCTTTGCTCCCTCCTTCCCCTGTGAGCATGGCAAGTGGAGAGGAGAGACTCTGTTGGCTTCTGGTGAGGCTGAGCTTTGTGAGGGGACTGGAGCTTCTTGCATCATTTTGCAAGATGAGCTCCAGACATCTCTGAAATCCTGTCACTTGCACAAAACTCACAAACGTTGGCAATACTGCATTAGGCATTTATGGTGGTCTTTACAGTATTCTTCCATCACATTTCTTGTGCTATTGAGAGAGGGAGTAGGACCTGGCCAACTACCTCTGAATGTAATAGAGACTAACAACCATCAACAACTGAATAGACCTTGCCCAAGCAGAGCAATGGTGTTGCAGCAACCTAGGTAAAATCAGTCCTCTCCAGATTATCTATGGAGGACAAGAGAATGGAAAATTCCCCAAAGGGAACAAGGAGATCTGTGTGTTAGTGCAGGCCTTCAAAAACACAGAGGCTGAGAAGATCAAGGGTGGAGAGAAAGGGGCTTGGCTTTCTGGGCACGAGGGAACCTTTTGATTGGCATACCAGCCAAAGTTGATGCAGGAGTCAGTGAGGAGACTCCATGATCTGGAGGAGAAGCCTGGGCTGGAGGAGTGAAGTCCAGGAGATGGGACTTGGAATTTTGAAAGGACACTGACCAAATACCAAGGAACATTCAAAAGTGGTAAAAAAAACAAACAAAGCACCCCTAGAATGGTTTACAGATGATTTACTATTTTACCTACATCTGTATATCTTTTGTGCTGTCTATGAGTAAAGTGTGCTTTGTTTTAGAAATCCATCTGCAAAGATTGTGTCTGTTTCAAATATTACATGTTCCTGAAGGGTTAAACTATAACTAATGTACTCATGAGGGTGGAGCTCTGGGGGAGGATATGCTTAAGCTGCTGGAGTGTATTGGGATGGGTTCGATACTGGTCTTGGGGCTAGGGCAGCTGGACTGTTGAGTCCCATGTATAAGAAGAGGTAGCAGGCAGAGTCTATGCCCAGGGAGTGAGCCTAGTGGCCAAAGAAAGGCCTGGAATCTATCCAGACCCAGGAGAACTTAAAAGCACACAGATTCAGGGTATGGATCCAAATACAGCAGCCTGAGGTATATCCAGCAAGGGGGAGTTTGACAGGTCTGTGACACCTCTGCAGCAACTAACCTCTAGAGACCACAACCAGTGAAACACCCCAAAGGCCACCTCAGGGACTTTTACCTTGCTGAATGATCACACATCTTGGACACTTATAGTGCAGAAACAATTTCCTAACATTATGATTATAGAGTAGGTCAGGGGTCGGCAATGTTC